CCCAGACCCGACACGCGTCACAGTCACCCACTTCAAAAAGGACGCAAACAGTTCAAAATAATAACAGGAAATTGTGCAGCCCATAGGCATGCACATGTCATAATAGTAAAATCCGTTGGCGAAACACCCCAACAAATGAAAACAATCCGGATGAACCGGTAACAGGCGAAAAGCGGACTCGATGTCCGATTTCGCTAACAACGCCCCCTGTCCTGCCCGCCGGAGAAGTCGCAACGCCGAGTCAAAAGAAGCAACGCCGATATCGTCGTTGACCGATGAACCCGCGGGGTATGACAGATGATGAATCAACCTGAAAGCCCCAGGTACCTTTTTGGGAACCAAACCTAGAGGGGCCCCCTCAAATTGGGAAAATATTCCCTACCCCGAATAGAACACAGGTTCATGGCAAACTTACCCTCGTCTGACGCCACAAAAGGGATCCAAAAACCCAACGTAAACCCGTCGAACAGCAAGCCCACGACATCCCGTTTAGGAGACCGGTCGAGCAACGGGCGCATCCTTTCCGCGTTCACCGGCGTTCTCTCTGCGAGAAACATTGTCCCGACTAACGCCCTTTGCGGCGGAGGGCCTGCCCTTTTTGAAACAACGTAGCGCAGGTTGTGCTCCCCCGCAGTCGGCACACTCATGCCGGAGTCCTGGAAAGGGAGATGGACGGCACGGGGTCATCAGTAGCAACCACAGGCTGCCGTCCTGTACCCCAAAATCCATGCCCGGGCACGCCGCCATCTTCTGACGGAATTGCTGGTCATATTTACCCAAATAACGAGGGGACCCGCTCAGGGAAGCGACGCACTAGAATACTAGCAAAAATGGTAAATCCCGGAAACCAGTTCCCAAACGTACACGGGATTGCCTTACCCTTCTCCCCTTCCAACTGTTCGCCACGCCGTATTAGTTTCACAGTGAGAAGCGCCTCTAGCAGCTGTCAATGAGACAGCCACTAGAGGCTGGATTAACCCTAATATAATATATACAATAGATACAAATACACCAGTGTGCAGGCAGAAAACACACCTAGTGGGTAATAGGTGATAATACACAAAAATTGCCCTTATTTAGTAGTGTAGTAGATGAAAGGACTCCTCATATGTCCTCAAAACAATATTAGTATGCTACCAAAAGGCAATCTACAACACAAAAATAAGAGACGGACATAGCATAGTAATGTAATATAATGGGGATTATAGAGGTAAATGATTACACTCACAGACCCAATTTGATTGAAGGCATATCATAAATGACGATGAATAAACTTCAGGACTTGTGGAACGTCAATAACATGCATAGGAGGAAGAAGAAAAATAATAGTGCAGAGTATCTTAAATAAAAGTCACACAATTTATTACAAGATACACTTACAGGAAGGTAGTATCAAAAAGGCACATCAAGCTCCGCTGAAACTGTAACCCAGTAGCAGGATCAGATGGGCAGGAAAGCCAAGTAAAATAACACGTAAAAATATACAAATAAACAAATAAATACTCTGTACATAAAACAGGCCCTATTCGTTTCGTTCATAGAAGAACCTTTTTTTTCTACGTAGGGTTAGATGCCCCTGAGGTAGTTCTTCTATGAACGAAACGCGTAGGGCCTGTTTTATGTACAGAGTATTTATTTGTTTATTTGTATATTTTTACGTGTTATTTTACTTGGCTTTCCTGCCCATCTGATCCTGCTACTGGGTTACAGTTTCAGCGGAGCTTGATGTGCCTTTTTGATATTACCTTCCTGTAAGTGTATCTTGTAATAAATTGTGTGACTTTTATTTAAGATACTCTGCACTATTATTTTTCTTCTTCCTCCTATGCATGTTATTGACGTTCCACAAGTCCTGAAGTTTATTCATCGTCATTTATGATATGCCTTCAATCAAATTGGGTCTGTGAGTGTAATCATTAACCTCTATAATCCCCATTAGATTACATTACTACGCTATGTCCGTCTCTATTATTTTTGTGTTGTAGATTGCCTTTTGGTAGCACACTAACCCTAATATAAACATATATAAAAAAGGGTTAAACCTAGCTGGACCAGGCACCCAGACCACTTCATTGGTCCATTAATGTGCAGTGTGCTGGGATATTACATTAATGTGCAATCTGTACTTGGATATTACATTAAAGGGACACTATAGTCACGTGAACAACTTTAGCTTAAAGAAGCAGTTTTGGTGTATAGAACATGCCCCTGCAGCCTCACTGCTCAATCCTCTGCAATTTAGGAGTTAAATCCCTTTGTTTATGAACCCTAGTCACACCTCCCTGCATGTGACTTGCACAGCCTTCCATTAACACTTCCTGTAAAGAGATCCCTATTTAGGATGTCTTTATTGCAAGTTCTGTTTAATTAAGATTTTAGTATCCCCTGCTATGTTAATAGCTTGCTAGACCCTGCAAGAGCCTCCTGTATGTGATTAAAGTTCAATTTAGAGATTGAGATACAATTATTTAAGGTAAATTACATCTTTTTGACAGTGAAACCATTTTTTTTTTTCATGCAGGCTCTGTCAATCATAGCCAGGGGAGGTGTGACAAAGGTTGCATAAACAGAAACAAAGTGATTTAACTCCTAAATGACAGTGAATTGAGCAGTGAAATTGTAGGGGAATGATCTATACACTAAAACTGCTTTATTTAGCTAAAGTAATTTAGGTGACTATAGTGTTCCTTTAACCCCTTAAGGACCAAACTTCTGGAATAAAAGGGAATCATGACATGTCACACATGTCATGTGTCCTTAAGGGGTTAATGTGCAATCTGTACTTGGATATTACATTAATGTGCAGTGTGTGCTGGGATATTACATTAATGTGCAATGTGCTGGGATATTACATTAATGTGCAGTGTGTGCTGGGATAGTACATCAATGTGCAGTGTGCTGGGATATTACAGTAATGTGCAATCTGTACTGGGATATCACATTAAAGGGACACTATAGTCAACCAGACCACTTCAGCTCAATGAAGTGGTCTGGGTGCCAGGTCCCTCAGGCTTTAACCCTGCAGCTGAAAACATAGTTTCAGAGAAAGTTCTATGTTTACATTTTGGTTTAAGCCAGCCCCTAGTGGCTGTCCTCTGGACAGCCACTAGAGGCGCATCTGCGACGCTGGAGGCATATTATGCCTCCATCGCGCAGAGCGTCCATAGGAAGTGTGATGTATGAGCAGTTGGGCTGTGTGTGTGTGTGTGTGTGAGTGTATGTATTGTGATGTATAGGCGGTTGGACTGCGTATGAGTGTGTGAGTGTATGGGTGTATGTATTGTGATGTATAGGCGGTTGGGCTGCGTATGAGTGTGTGAGTGTATGTATTGTAAATTATTGGCAGTTGGGCTGTGTATGAGTGTTGTGTATGAGTGTGTGAGTGTATGTATTGTGATGTATGAGCAGTTGGGCTGTGTATGTGAGTGTATGAGTGTATGTATTGTGATGTATAGGCGGTTGGGCTGCGTATGAGTGTATGTATTGGGATGTATAGGCGGTTGGGCTACGTATGAGTGTGTGAGTGTATGTATTGTGATGTATGGGCGGTTGGACTGTGTATGAGTGTGTGAGTGTATGTATTGTGATGTATAGGCGGTTGGGCTGTGTGTGAGTGTATGAGTGTATGTATTCTGATGTATGTGCATTGGGCAGTTGGGCTGTTGTTGGCTGTGAATGATGCACTTCCTTTCTTGTGGCTCTTTACTTCCTGTTACTGTTGGCAGTTGGTGGAATGTTCGAGGGATTTGAAACCCTGTGTAACAAGGTTGCAATATGAAGATTCTGTTATATATGTATTAATAAAGTGAGTACTTCGTTATACAGGAATTATTGACTGATTTGTACAAAACATCACAGTGGCGACGAGGCTGTAGAACCCTAACTGACATGGCAGCCATTGGCACTATAAAGGACTTTGATCCTGACTTGGATTTATGGGCCTCTTCGGTTGAAAGGCTTGAACAATATTTTGCAGCTAATGATATTCCTGACAATAAACAGGTCACTGTTTTCCTAACAGTTTTATAGGAGCCAGAACGTATGATACGCTAAGGAGCCTCTTACACCCAGAGAAACCTGCCAGCATGCCATTGGCAAGCCTGATTACTCTGTTAACTAGCCATTTCCAACCAAAACCACTAGAGATCACATATGCCATTGCGTTTCGGAAACTCGCCAGCACCTGCTGTTTTGGGGACTACCTGCCCACTGCTCTGCGAGACCAGTTTGTAATGGGCATTGCAAGTGATGCAGTGCTAAGGAGACTGCTTACAGAAGAAGATTTAACATTTAAAAAGGCAATGAACATGGCAAGCATTATAGAACAAGCTTCTAAGGATGCTAATCTATTACACAGCAGACTGGACAACACACAGGAGGCAGAGCTAGAAGTTTTAAAATTAGACGCTAGAGCACGGAGTATACCACAGGGAAAGAGACATTCAAAACAGGAACATTTACAAATGTTATCGCTGCGGAGCTGCTACACATGTTGCAACTGCATGCAGATTCAAGGATGCCACGTGTCATGCTTGTGGTAAAATGGGCCACCTACAAAGAGTGTGTAAATCCACAGCAGAGAGAGGCAGTAATCGCTTGAGAGACAGAGCAAAGAATGCCTATAGAGTACAAACGCAGGAGTCTTCTGAGGATTCGGATGAACAATTTCCTGTCTGAAATTTAAAAATATATAAAATAGGTTCTAATCTGGCTGCATTCACAGTTCAGTTTGTTGTAAATGGAAAGGAACGGACTATGGATTTGGACACAGGTGCAGCTGTATCAGTGATTTCTTTGACAGACTGGAAACGCCTTAAATACATAGGCCAATAATTCAGACAACAGCGAGACTGCAAACATATTCTAAAGAGTTGTTAATACCAGTAGGTTGTGTGACAGTCACAGTTACATTCAACAAGTGTAAGAAGAAACTACCTCTCTATATCTTAGAGAATGGAGGACCTCCACTTTTTAGTAGGGAGTGGATAAAGGCTCTCGGGATGCCTCAAGTGCATAAGTATCCATGTAATGAGTTGAATGAAAATCAGACCAGACTTGACTGGATTAGAGAATTACATGAAAAGTATGCACCAGTGTTTGATGGCCAATTGGGGAATGTAAAGGGACAACAAGTTTCCTTAGAATTAAAGGAAGGAGCAACACCAAAATGTTTTAAAGCAAGAAGTGTGCCTTTTGCTCTAAGGGCTGGAGTGGAGGCAGAATTGAGGAGATTAGAGGAGCTGAATATCATCTCCCAGGTTCACAATAGTGAGTGGGCTTCGCCCATTGTTCCTGTGAGAAAACGAAATGGGGAGATACGGATTTGTGGGGATTTCCGCATGGCTCTTAACACACAGCTTAAAATAAATAAGTATCCCCTTCCTAGGGTAGATTATCTTTTTGCATCATTGGCAGGTGGCCAGAAATTCGCTAAAATTGACATGAAAAATGCATACCTACAGTTATCTGTACATCCAGATTCTCGACAACTACTTATGATTAATACCCATTGGGGGCTATTCAGGTATAACCATATGGTTTTTGGCATTTCACCTGCACCAGCAGTCTGGCAGCGAACAATGGACAAGCTGTTAGCTGGAATTCCTGGGACACAGTGCCTGTTAGATGACATGCTGGTGACGGGTAAATCAGAGGAGGAACATAAACAGAATGTAGAGGCAGTTTTGCAAAGACTTATGGAATATGGATTGAAGGTAAATTTGGATAAATGCCAATTCATGCAGGATCGTCTTGAATTTTGTGCTCATGTAATTGACAAACATGGGCTGCATACAACAGATGAGAAGGTCAAGGCATTACAGGATGCTCCAACTCCACAAAATGTGACACGACTAAGGCCCTATCTTGGTCTGTAAAATTATTACAACCGTTTTTTGCCTAATTTAGCTCATGTCCTGTACCCTTTACATCGTCTTCTAGAGAGTAAATGACAATGGCACTGGACAGTAGAATGTGCTTCAGCTTTCCATAAGTCAAAAGAACTAGTTCGTAGTTCACGTCTTTTAGTACACTACAACTTGGAAAAGTCTGTTTCCATTGCTTGTGATGCATCACCTTACGGACTTGGTTTTGGACCATAAACCTTTATTGACAATTTTTAACCCACAGAAAGGTATTTCAATCATGACAGCAGCAAGACTTCAGAGGTATGCCTTAACTCTGGTGGGGTTATCAGTATCAGATACAATATCGTCCAAACGCTCTGCATTCTAAAAAATAGGGCATAATCTGCTAAATTGAGATAAACAAAATCACATAGCATATAACTGTGTGTATAAGTGAACTGCAAATTATATGACAAATGGCCACTCACATTCTCACAGTTGTAAAAAGGCTTGAACAAGAATTATTTCTTGGAGGTCAGCTTGGTTCTTCCATCACATATTTCCCAAAGATATATAAGCTCAGGAAAAAATTAAAATAGAATTGAAGTAGACTATCCAGAGTATAAAAAAGGAAATTTAATAACTTGCATTCAAGTTAAAAACAATCTGTGTCACCACTATGCGTCCTACGCGTTTCATCCAATAGCAGGACTTCCTCAGGGACTTTTGTGGTGTATCAGCAATTACCAAATACAATAAAAAATCCTTTCCCTCCCCAGTCCTTTACACACCCCCCAATAAGTTCATAATTGATGAAATTCCTCACTGGTGGGCTTCTCCTGTGCCGGTGATCTCCGTGATTATGCATGCTTCCCGTGATGCGTGCGTTCCAGGCGTGCGTTCCATTACGAACTCCCGGAAGTTCGTGCGTTCCATCGTGCGTTTCATCTTGAAATCCGGAAATAAAGGTCTCTGTAGATGAGGTTCTTTATCTCAATGTATATGGAGAATAGAAAGGGTGTAAAAGAAGGGGGAGGGAGGGTGGTTAAAAAAACTCTGGATAGTAGATCTGCTAAACTCATATACATATGGGCTGGAATTGCCCAAACAGTAACGACAATTTGAACACATATATACTCTCCTATTTATAAATATACAGGCAAATATCAAACTAAAAATAAGAATGGAAGGTAGTGCAATTATATCTTAGTTCCACATTACTTTTATAACACACATCAGAAATATGTACATTAAGGGAATACATGTCAATTAATACATTTATACCACATCTTCTAAGCATATGTGCTAGGAGGATACATGCCAATAAATGCATGTTTATTGAAGAGTTCCAATAATACTATTTAACTGGTGTCTCTCATCCAAAAATTATAAAAATAAAAATGAAAATATGAAAAGTTTATCCATAGCATAGGTTTTGAAATGTATTTTTATAACTCTAACAAAAATTGTAGATTGAAAGCACATATACCAACAGATGTGTGTGCATTCAAAAATATTAATTAAATTTTAACAGAAAAAGAGAGGTTTTCAGAAATCGATGTTGTGAAGTACAAAAGAAAAGTTGGATACCCCAATATTGCATTCTTTCACTTTACTTAATATATACACAAAGGTGGCATTATATAAAACCCTTTTAAAAGGGAAAAGGATTAATTTAATATAATTTGGTTCATATTTATTCATTTATAGGAATCCCATTCCGAGTAGAATCTTAAAGAGACAGATACCTCTGATTTAAGTTGGCAGACCCTTCTATAATAAAAGGGTATATTCTACTTCTATATACCTATAATTAGATGCGCTAATTATCAAAAACAAGAGGGTTGAATTTAACCACATCCATTCCACATGAAGGAAGGAAGTTCTTTGAATTTTAATTTTCTTGATTTTATACAGATCATTCTAAAAAAAAAAACAAAAAAAAAATATATAAAAATAAAAAAATCTGTCTAAAAGATGCGTAATGGGAAAAATGCAACATTTTTACAAATGACCTCTTAAAGGGACACTATAGTGTCAGGAAAACCGCTTGGTTTTCCTGACACTATAGTACCCGGAGGGTGCCCCAACCCTCGAGGTCCCCCAGCCACGGCGCTGAATGGGTTAAAACCCCTTCAGCTACTCACCCTTTTCCCCCGCCGGGCTCCCTTACCTCTCCTCCCCCGCCGACGTCAGCATCCTTGTCTGACGTCACCGGCGCTGAATGCTCATGCGCGGCACTGCCGCACACGCATTCAAAATGTCCGTAGGAAAGCATTTTTCAATGCTTTCCTATGGACGCTCTGCAATCATTGCCGATGCGCCTCTAGTGGCTGTCCAGAAGACAGCCACTAGAGGCTGGCTTAACCCCAGATGTAAACATAGCAGTTTCTCACCCAGACCAATTCATTGAGCTGACCAATTCATTGAGCTGAAGTGGTCTGGGTAACTATAGTGTACCTTTAATACACTTTCTAATCCTCAAAAAAACACCATAGATCAATATCTAGATTCAATCCATGGGGTTGTAATGTTTTTAATTTGTTTATCCAAAAGGTTTCTCTCTGAGAGAGCTTCTTAACTAAATGTCCTCCTCTCCAATACGAATCAACATGTTCTATACCCATAAAGAAAAAGCCTTGCCAATTAAATTTATTACAGTTGTTACAATGAATTGGTATAATGTGTTTTGTTGAGTTTTTTTCTAATATTATTTTGATGTTCCAATATTCTCTCTTTAAGTTTGTTCTTACCACGTATTGTTTCCCACATGGGCATTGTAACATATACACAACATTTGTAGTGTTGCAATTAATATTAAACTTTATTTTACATTTTTCTTTAGTGGTTGAGCTAATAAATTCTCTTTTTTGTATATATCTTTGGTTCCTACACGCTTTACAAGAATTGCAGGGATTAAAGCCATGAATATTTGATGTTGTACTCTTTTTTGGGATCTTTAATGCATAGCTTGGTGCTAGTATGTTTTTAAAATAGTTTGATTTAAAAAAAATAAAAATAATGGGTGCCTTTTTTGGGAGAACTTTACCTAATATGGGATCCTTACATAGGATATCCCAGTGTCTATTAAGAATCTTTTTATTTTCCAATGCTGTGTACTATATTGTGTGATGAAGCAACATTTGTAATTCTTTTTGGGAGCTTTTTTAAGTTTGGGTGTCATTAAGTCCTTTCTATCCCTTTTTTCCAATTTCTCTAATCTCTTTTTCAAGTAATGTGGGCTCATACTTTTTTTTTTAACAAAAAAGTATTTTTCAGATGTTTTGCCTGTTCCTTATAATCTGCATCCCTTGTACAGTTCCTTCTGATTCGTGTTAACTGACCTCTTGGAATGGTTTTCAACCAATTTTCATGGTGGCAACTTTTGCGATGAATATAACTATTGCCATCAGTTTTTTTGAAATGGCATTTAGTGTGAATGATTCCATTTTCAACGAAAAAACAAACATCAAGAAAATTTAGTTATGGAATTAATCTCATATGTAAATTTCAAACCATAATCATTTTTATTTATATATTCAAGAAAGTTTTGCAATTCATCTCGTGGCCCTTGCCAGATTAATAAAACATTGTCAATAAAATGTTTCCAAAGGACCAGGTTCGCTGCCTAGCTATGCCCACTCCATACGTGGTTGGACTCCCAATCCTGCATATTTATGTTTGCATAGCTGGGGGCGAACCTGGTCCCCATTGTTGTCCCTGTGATCTGAAGGTAGAATGAATTATAAAAGACAAAGTAATTGTGCTTTAAAATATAATGTATGCTCTCCAGTATGAAGTTTCGGAAATCAGATGGGATCTCCTTATCTCTCTCCATGATCCGTTCAACTGCGTTTAAACCCTTATTGTGTTTAATGATTGTATATAAAGAAGTAACATCTATAGTTACCCAAAGGAAATCTTGTTTCCAATTTATATCTTCCACAATTCTCAATATATATGAAGTATCTTTGAGATATGAAGGAGCTTCCTAAACATATTTTTGGAGGCTGTGATCAACAAAGTCCGACAGATGGGCAGATACAGAATTAATACCACTAATTACTTGGGGGTTATTGAGTTTTTATGTAATTTAGGCAGGAAATAAATAATAATTTTTTTGAATGCTTTGTACTGACGACAAGAGGAAATCTTTGGGGAAACTTGTGGATAATTTACCCTATACAGGAAAGTTCCTCTCTGCTAATATCTATTAAGCACTTTTTTTCACTGTGGTTTGTGCACACCTCTTGTTTGTTCTTGTTTGCTCTGCATTCTAATGCAGATGCATTCTCTAGACTACCACAGAAAGATCTACAATATGTTTTAATGAGGTGATAACAGCCAGAGAAATTGCACAGGCGACAGCCAAGGACTCTTTGCTGAGGTAAATACTTGTTTTTGTACGTAAGGGTTGGCCACTAAAAACTCCAATACATCTCAAGTCATTACAAACAAGGGCTCAGGAGTTATCAATTCAAAATGGCTGCTTAATCTGGGGAGAAAGGGTGGTTATTCCTTTTGTTTTACAACAACAGATTCTTGAAATTTTACATGCAGGTCATCCTGGCATAGTCTTCATGTGTTACGGTTATCACCGCAACATAGAAAACAGAAAGCGAGACGTGGTCGCCCTGGAAGAGCCAAAGAGGGGACTTGAACCTGAGGTCTTGTGCATTCCAGGTCTGTGTCTCCGCCTCTGAACCACATTCAGTTCTTGCTTTCAGCCTGGAAGTTCATTCCTGCCCTGTTGTAATGTCAGGATTACAGAATGATCCAGCACGTAGAATTGTGTAACACAGAGGACTGATAGGTAACGTATAGCGGACCTTAGAATGGCCGGACTAACTTACCAAAGAATAGTCAGGAATAGCCGAGGTCAAGGGAAGCAGAAAGAGACACAACGATAAGGAAAAGTCAGGAGTCAGCGATGCCAGAAAACAGGGAAGTCAAAAGCAATGCCAAAGTCGAATAACCAGAATCAATAACGCGCTCTCGGAAAACCACAACAAAAAAAGCTAAACAAGGAT